ACTCAGGGAATTTGTATTCAAATTTTGGTTTATGAAATTTGTTCGGAATTTGCCGGTTTTCCACCGGATTTCGTGAAATTCTGAATTCCGCCAGTGCCCGAAACGGAAGGGCCTATCGGAATCGTAAACCTTGGTGCTGCTCCTGCCCGGCTGTGTCTGTGCGTCGGTGCACTGTGAGCCACCTCGGTGTGCTCGGCTCATGGTGGACCGAGCGACTGTCAAGTGGGACCCGCTTGTGGACCTGGTCCGCGTGCGCTCTCTCTCAATAATTGAAGTTTTCCTTTAGAAAAATAATTTACAAAATTACAAATTTCCATTTAAACAACACCTGAACTTCAAATGGCCATATCTTGACCCGTTGAACTCGGAATTGACCTGTTCAAATCTCTAATTTCTCCTAAAAATGAGTAGAACCCATTTATGTGCTTTATTGCTTCTGTTCATATGGTTTTTATTAGCCTTTTTGTATTTCTTCGCGTTGGCCATGTAGATCCTGCCGTTCCAGAAGATCAAGACAAGTCATATCTACCTTGAACATGTTGAATCCCATATTGTGAAAATTATGTTGTTTTACTTATATTGCATTGCTTTATAAATTATACCGTTCATTATTAATATTGTTTTATTAGTTATTCCTATGATCTTTGTTATGGCCATGATGTTGATTTGATATCCATGACCCTTGTGAACCCTAGTAAAATTATAACTTGACTAGTCTAGTACCCTACATGATGGACTGACTAGTTGCTTTAGGTAAATGCTTAGTCATGCTTAGTTTCAACCTAGAACTTTTGGATAAACTAGACCATGGTGGTAACAACTAAAACTGGATTAGTTATAGACTATTTGACGGGTTTGTCAATAGATGGGTAATAAAATGCTTTGTGCAACTAAAACATATTTTTGGGCTGGGCTTGGGGTGCAAGCTGGTTACTTTGGTAGTCGCACCCCGGCTATTATAAGGACCGGTCTTCGGGCCTCTGCTGCAAGGCATCTTCGTGCAACCACAAGTCTAGTGGGTAAGGCCTGACCAGAAGTTTAGATCTTCTCAAAACAGAGACCATTGGTTGGAAGGGTGTGGGGCCAGGATTAAGGCCGATTTTCACCTGGCGCAAGGGGGGATGTCTCGTCCCGGGGGATCCGTTGACTTTCACCTCATCAGGGACCGGTGGGCGGCGAAACCTCAGCGGGTTCTCCTGTTTTGGGTAGACCTAAATGGATAGTCTTGTCACGACCTCTATCCGAGTACAGTGGTGGTACCCGGCGTGTGGCAACACGTGTTGAGGTTGTGTCTTGTGGGTAAAGTTGTACACCTCTGATCAGAGTTAAAAATTATTCGAATAGTCGCGCCCTCGGTTATGGGCAAGCTGAGCAATGTACCCAAAGTTAGATTTGTTTTATAAAACCTTGGGAGGGTAAAATCATGATGGTGCAGTCATGTGGATTTTAGCCTGGGTTAAGGCAGGTTCGCAGGCTCATGCGACCTTGATGATATTAAAATATTGGCTTAGAACAGGATCGTGTTTTAAAATGAGCTTTAACCTGATTAAAATGTTTAAACTATGGCTTTATGCAAAATTGTTTCCCCTATGCATTATTGTTGCATTTTCGGTGTGACTTGCTGAGTACGGTGGTGGTACTCACTCTTGCTCACAAAAATAATTCAGAGGATGGACCTGAGGAAGATGAAGGCTTGGATCTCTAGTTCGCTCCGCCGTCGAGTGCCTGTGGCTGCTACTGTTCTGTAGTCTTCCGCTGTTTTATTTGTCTATCTTTGAGTGTGAGGGCCTAGAGTCGCCCATGTAATAAAGTACTTCCTTTACGTTTCCGCAAGTGTGGCTTGTAATAATCAACAATGTCTATGTGTACCTCGCCTCCTGGGACGAGGATTAATGCACTGAGCGTTTGGAAATGGTGTATATTTCTGGGCGTGACAGTGATGATCCCCAACTTGGTTGAATTCTGATATTGATCCAAGATTGTTGTGGTGGCCACAAGTGTGGCACTCCAAGGGATTTTGATAGGTTAAAGTTGTGGTGGCCGCAAGTGTGGGACTCCAAGAGATCCCCAACGCCGGTGCACGCTTGAGAAAAGGTCGCACGATCTCCACTCCGCGTAACCGAATCGGATAAGTCGCGCGTAACTTATCCGGACTCCATGCCGTTTTCACGCACCAGCGGGATGGAGTAGTCTACGAGCGACGGCGCAACGCAGAGTAGGAGGCAAACCCTAGATTGATTTTTTGTGTGTTGCGTGGAGGCGGTGACTCGGTTTATATAGAGAAAAGGTCGCTTGATCAGGGCGCCCGCACGATCTCCACTCTGCGTAACCGAACCGATTTTTTGTGTGTTGCATGGAGGCGGCGGCTCGGTTTATATAGAGAAAAGGTCGCTTGATCAGGGCGCCCGCACGATCTCCACTCCGCGTAACCGAACCAGTGTGTTGCGTGGAGGCGGCGGCTCGGTTTATATAGAGAAAATGTCGCTTGATCAAGGCGCTCGCACGATCTCCACTGCGCGTAACCGAACCGGATAAGTCGCGCGTAACTTATCCGGACTCCACGCTGTTTTCACGAACCGGATTTTTCGGAATGTTTCCAAAACAAAACAAATCCGAATTTTCCTTCCCGCAGCAAAAAAAGAAAACAACCGAACCAGATAAGTTGTGCGTAACTTATCCGGACTCCACACCGTTTTCACGCACCGGATTTTACGAAACTACACCGCTAGGTGAGGCAAGGCGAGATGAGCGCGCACGTGTTCCCCCTCTTCTCTCCACCTCACATGCTTCAAGTGGCTAAGAGGGCATCCTCTCTTTTAAAGAGGTCTCTCTCATAGAATAAGTAAGGTGGTACTAAACTCTTCATGCATGCCATCCCAAGAGATGGACTTTTGTGATTTTCCAAAGAATTAATCTTCGAGTGGACTAAGGCCCGCATCTATTAATTCCAACACCATCAATAGGTCAATGCACAACCTTTCCATTTGAACCATTACTGTTGTTAGATTACAGGAGCCATTTCACGATCTCTAGCGCCAATCATTTTATTTAGAGAGGAGCCACTGTAGTGATAATCCATCGATAGCCCAAGTGGCTAGACTAGGGTCCAGGCCGACGGCTAGGTACGTGAAAGGCCTTCTTTTCTCCAACATAACTTAGATTTAATTTCAGATACTCGTGACACGCTTTTCAAACTACTAAACGGTATATTTCGTACGAAAACTTTCTACATGAAAGTTGTTCTAAAATATCAGATTAATCCATTTTTTAAGTTTATAATAATTAAAACTCAATTAATCACACGTTATTACAACCTCGTTTTACGTGAAACATTTAATCTTTTATCTTCACTGGATTCAAACACCACCAAAGGAAGTCCAGGGCAAATCGGATTTCTGAAGTCATGCCATCAGCGGCCGAAGATCAAAACCGGTGAGACCATGATTTAGGGTTTTTTTTTGTCTGCCGTTCTTCAGTTATTGTATTTGGGTTTTTGCAAATTTAGGATTTTTGCAAATTAGATTTTGAAATTTAGGGTTTTTGCAAATTAGGGATTTTTTTTAGGAAAGGTGTAACACGAATTGATTATGTGAAATCCCGTAACTGATTTGATGCGGGCTCGAGATGACATGAGAGTGACAGTCGAAAAAAATGATTTATGCAATTTCTATCATTCTTCCCGTTTGTTTTCTCTTCCTCTAGGTTCTTTGTCTGATTGGATTGGATTAATTTGCGCGTACGTGGGAACGGAGGCAATTGCTCCATCGGGAGGACGAAAAATTATTTAGACGAACGAAAAATTACCAATTTTTTAGGTGGTTAAGATTAAGGGCTTCTTCGGATTGTAGGAACTTTGGAGGAAAATTGGAGGATCCAATTCCTATAGGATTTAAGTACTATTCACTTATTCGGTTTGAAGGAATTGGGGCATGGAAAAATTGGAGATTTTTTCCTTCACCTATGATTTCATAGGAAATCCATAGGAAACTGAACATTCACTGGGACCTCTTTTTCATTTTCCTTTGAGAATTCCAAGACAAATCAATGCATGTAACCTCAAATGAGCTTATTTAAACACTCATCAAGCAAAAAAAAACTATTTTTTATACTCATGGTGAAAGTCCTATGTTTTGATCTATTCCTATGTTCCGAACAACGTGTTGTGTATTTTTCCTGTGGTTTTCCAATCCTATGTTTTTCATATGTAATCCTATCATATTCCTACGTTTTTCCTATTCCTATGATTTTACATTTCTTTGTTCCGAATAAGCCCTAAGATTGTAACACAGCTTAGGAAAAGCTACCTCACTCACGCGCTGGCAACGAGCATTTTCCGGGAGTAGCTTAGTCTAACTAACTGAGTTAGTTTTAGATAATGACTGTAATTAAGCAAAGATTTTCCTTTTTTTTGAAAGATCTTTTTTTTAACAGATTGAAATATTTCAAGTTAAATTTAAAAACTTTCACCTTAAAAATTTAAATTTTGAAGTCAAATTTTAGAAACTTTTAACTTGAAATTTAAATTTGTAAGACAAAATTTAAAAACTTTTAACTCAGGTTTTAAAACTTTCAACACGAGATTTAAAAACTTTTAAGTCAAGATTTAAAACCTTTCAACTCAGATTTGAAAACATGTGTGCTGAAGATTAAAAAAAATCAAAAAAAAAGAAAAAGAGAAAATCACGAAAAAAAAATGACGCGGGTACCAGCAACGTTGCCAGCGCGCCAATTGTCAATTCCGACACAACTTTGCTACTTTAACAAAGACGATGGATGAGAGAAGGGAGAAATCCGCTGTTCATGCCGTAATGCTGGAACTATGGCGAATGCATCTATCGTCATTGATGCATAAATAAAGTGCCTTACCAAACTTGCCAAAATTTTGTGCTGGTTGGATGCTTTGCTGGCTTGGCAGGCCGTGTCGTGGCTCGGCCGCGGATGGCAGCCCAAGAACCGGCACAGCCCATCTTATATACGGAGTATATTTAAAGGAACCCGACCGATCCCTAGCTCCTGTGTAAAAAAAAAAGAAAAGAAACCTAGCTCCGCCTCCGCCGCCGCCGCCGCCGCCGCCGCCGCAACTCGAGCGGCGAATCGGCGATGCCACCCAAACTGAGGTCGTCGAAGGGGGTGGCGCCATCCCCTTCCACCGGCGAGGGTGGAGAAAGCCACACATCGAAAAAGAATCCCGCTCCGGCTACGGCTCCCACCGCCGGAAGTGTTACTCGATCTAGAGCGAGGGATACTACTGAGCGCGCTAGAGCTAGTGGCGGGGGCACGGCACTGGATCCGAAGAAGAGAAAGAGGACAGAAGAGTCAGCGGCGTCATCAGCAGCGGCGGCAGGTCCGGTTCCGAAGAAGATGACCACCGCCGGTAGTACGACCTTGGCCTCCCGGCCGCTCCCTCTTCGCTACCCGCCTTATCCCACCTTACCACCGGGGACTCGTCCTACCAGCAGACAATATTTGGATCCCGTCCTTGACAGAAAATATTTGGATTCCGTTCTTGAGTGGGCCAAGGAGCGCCGCCGGATCGCCAAACTCTCCAAGAAAGGTTCAATTCAATATTTCTTTCCTTCTTTCTATAATTTGTTTCCTATCCCTCCTGCTTGATCCATGCCACTGACCGCCATCCTTCTTTTCGTTAGCTCAATGTAAAGATATCCCCACTCTCAGGCATTCGCCCATGGATCCCATCACTGCAGATGCCGTCGTCACATCACAAGACAAGGCCATGGTGCTGCGTGTGGCTCGCTCCGTTGTCAGTGTTTCATCCACAATGCCTGGTAGTAACACAATTATCTAAGGCTCAATTCGTTATTATTCATTCATATGATCGATTCCTCCTAGCTAGCTAAATGGCATTCGATGACTTTGCAGATGGGGGTGGATTGATTTCCCGGTGCACTGGCGTCGTAATCGGTTGGGATGGGGCTAACAAACGTGCCAAGATCCTCACTGCTGCTTCTGTTGTTTGTGACTTCCATGGTGAATTGCATAACCCAGCACTCAAGGTACTTAACTCTCTTCTTTGAATTATATATATATGCCCTGTGTGTAGTCTATGTTAAATGCTTCATATCTCATAACTGTAGTTGATCATGTCGTCTGCAATTCGTTTTAACTTTTTGAGATACCAATTGCTGCCTGTTATCTGATTCCTCTTTGTTTATCATGTAAGTTTCAATTTACGTTGCCGTTAATTAGGGAAGTAATTGCTCATTGTAGCTCAACTTGCTGAATTTTTGAAATTGAATAGAAATCGGGAGGTATTTTAATACAAACTTGAGACTGCTTGGCAAAAAAAAAAAAAAAAAAACAAAGAAAAAGAAAAGAAAAAGAACAGGTTGCATTGTCCACTTGGCCACCGAGCATTCCATAGGCCTCTTTCCACTTAATATTATCCCACACCAGAAATTCTAGCCCTTTGCTTTTGCTCCACAAACCAAAATTATGTAATGTCAAGCAACCCATTAGACAGCAAGTTTCTAGCAATGGGAAATATCTTATAACAGATCTCTATGAGTTTAGACACACACTAACTTCTTCCGTTAACATATCAATTCTACAAACTCCTTCACCAGCATGTTAATTCTCTTTATGCCACAAAGGTACAATGAAGAAAAACCCGTTCACCCTCGAAACTTCTTAAAAGAGTCAATTTAATTACCTTGTCGTGAGCCCTTTCTAAATTGTTTACAGTTTATTTCCATGAATTTCATGCACCCAAGCCATCCCTTGATAACTGTAGCATAAGGAGTTCAATTTCCTTGTCAAGTCAATGAGCTTTGCATGGTAGCACTTTCAGCTCGCATTTATATATTTTTAGTATTGGTTCTTGTGAAAGGTAAGTAACACCAATGCATGTTTGTCTCACCATGGCTTAGCACTGTTTTAAGATCTTATTATGCGCCTGGTTGTCTTTTCTTTTAGAGATGTGCAGCTGTTACAGAATATGGACATTAAACCTTGCATGCCTTTTCCTTGTTATTCTCTGTGATGTTGATTTTTTTTCTAAATTTTTTGCTCATTCTTCAGTTATCTTAATTAACTCACTTAATGTTTCTAAGGTTCTTATCTATTTTAGTTCTTATGATTTCCTTTTCGCCTATTAGTCCTTTGTATACAAGTTAACTATAGTTGATCAAATCTCAACTTTCCAGCTATCCGTCAGTATGCCAAATAAGACAACAACAGAAGGAAGGTTGTTGTTCTACAATGTGCACTATGGTATTGCTCTTTTGGAAGTCATGGGAGACTACAAGTTGGAGGTCCCTTCTTTTGGATCGGGCACAAACTACGGTCAGGTCATATTTGCATTGGGTAGGGGTGAAAACATGTCTTTAATGGTTAGCCATGGAACAATTTCATGGACAGATTACCCTGTGTTATTGAGGAACCACAATATGTTTCTGAGCTGTGATATTCCTGAGGTATTGATGCATTATTATGCTGGCATTTTAATGCATTCTTATGTTCTCGTTAATTTTGGAGTCTCTCTTTAATGTAGGGTGGTTCAGGAGGGCCGGTGGTTGACCATGGTGGCAATATGATTGGGATTGCATTTGTAGAAAATCCGGGTCCGGTCTTTATCTCTATCAAGACAATCATGACTTGCATGGAGATGTGGGATCAGTTTAGGTTTGTTCCCTTCTCTTACCTGTTATCTAAATGTAAAATTTATAGGCAGTCATTATTGTTAACAGTGCATTTTCATCTTTTGCCACTCTGTCAACATCCTATCAGCTAAGTACACTGTTTCAAGCGCTAGAAAGTATTCGATGGTGTTTATGGTCCCTCTTGTGACTTGAATCTACTCATGACAACTGTCTGAACGTGTTCCTGCTTGCTCATTGATCATTAGTTCATTACAATGACATGCTATTCATGAATGCATTTTTATCTTGAGGTGTGGGGATGGTTCCAGCAGAGTATGTCGTCACTCATCAGCACGGTTGGATAGAAGGGCTTGGGTTCTGATGACAACCACAAAAACCAGCGCCGTTGCAGTGCAATTTCAGTGACTCAAGTTGACGGTGTGGCAAAAATTGAAATGCATTGCTAATAGAAGTAGCGAAAGCGTAAATCAAGTTTTAAGAGTGGCAATCTTGAAACTGTGACTTCTAAGAGTAGCAAAAACAAACTTTCCCTTATTTATTGAATTTATCCACTTATCTTGAGTGCTGAAACATAGTAATTTTTATCTTGAAAAGTAGGTATTTGTTGTTATTAGGAACTGTGATCAGTTAGGCAGTTATCTCACTTATGGTAGAGTTGTTGATGTATCTTTTGTCTCTTGTTCACAGAAGTTATTTTATTTGCCAGTTATGTGTTTAAAAATTTATCGTTGTATTTAATGTTCTATTGAATTTAAAGTGTGTGCACAACTTATCGAGGTGGGGGTGACACCACCACCACTAGGTTGATAGGAAAGCTGTCTGGTGTTTTTTTATGTTATCCTTTGTTTGTTAGATCATACAAGTTGGGCCCATCATCTAGATTCTGGATATAATGTCAATGTTCAAATATGGGATAAGTTGCACGTTTAGGAAGGGCAATTTAAATCTCAAACCTCAGGTTCAGTGCAACATACTTTAAAGCTTTTTATTGCTGAAGTCGAACATAAGGAAAAAATAGCATACAAAATGTACCAGTGACCTCATACAATACTAGTAATAATATAATTTATGCATCATATCTGTTAGAGAGAATTATCCCTATAAAGGCCAATTTGTTCCACATGCCAAAATATGGCCCATTCATTTATGCTAGCTGAAACACCATCTAGTTTATTCCCTGTTACCCTTATACCACCGCCATCCATGTTCATCATGATTTCTGCTCCTCAAGACTCAAGAAGTACTGTAATCCCCATTTGCTAAATGTCAAGTGATGAATTGGCTACAGTTGCAAAACTAAAACATCCTGAGCCCTTGTCACCTGATGGCCAACTTTACTGCCATTGCAGCTCCTAGCTTTGCAGCCCCAACAGCCGCTGCTGTTGTCACATTGCTGCTCAGTGCCCTATATTGATTGCTGGCTCGCTGCTCACGGCACAGGAGCACATTGATTATGCGATTTTGGTGGTGTTTGAATTATAGCAAACTTTGGCTGCTAGGGGCATGTATGTTTCTATTTTAGTTATTTTGTGTTCTAGCCATAAGAGCAAGTACTATGGGCATCCAAACACAAGCCCCAAGATGAATCTAGATAGATATATATGTCTAGATCTATTAACATCAATATGAATGTGGGAAATGCTAGAATGACTTACATTATGAAACAAAGGGAGTACCTCTTAATTTATTGGTGTATGACATGTATGAAATTAGAGGTGATAGCCACCTCTACTATAAAACTTGCTCTAATGGGTGAGTGATTCATTATTCTTAACATGTTTATAATAAATTATATTGAGGATAAATGGTAATGGATTGGATGGTACATATATTGCCAATATGCAACAAATTTGATGGTATGGAGGCAATTACCCCATTCCTGCACTGAAATATAAACTGATAGGAGCATGGAACAGTCAATACATCCTTATATGTGCATTGTAAACTGAAAGACATGGTACTGTTGCCTTATGGAGCCCTTGTGGCTTAGCCAAAAAAAATACTGTATAGTTTACTTTTGGAACTGATGCTCTAAATCCAACTTATTTTTAGCCGTGTTGCTCGCCCCTTGCTTGGCATGCAATTGAAGTCAGTGGAACTACTGGATGTCTCCATTCAGGAGGAACTCTGTCGTGACTATAATATCACCAGTGGTTTCATTGTGAGTCAGGTATATTACTATTCTGTACATATATTTTTCTCCTAGTATTTGACTCATTTGGTCTCATAGGTGATAGTTGATTCATTTTCTCGTAGTATTTGACTCTTTTGGTCTCATAGGTGCTCGTTGATTCTACTGCTGAAAAGCTTGGTATTAGACGAGGGGACGTGATTGATTTTCAGGATATTGATTGTTCTACTTTATCCCAGGTGAGTAGAACTCTTAGTCTTTATTAATCACTTTACTATGTCTATAAATATAGTATATGGGATATATTTAAGTATTTAATTACACTCTGTGAGCAGTTAGAAGACCACCTCCTTTCTCTTGGTTGGGGATACCTGAAAGGGATGCATTTGACAGTCGATCTGAAGGTACCTTAAAAAGCTATATGTTCAAAAACAAAAAAAAAATGTTACTTGGTTCTTTAGAATTGAAAAGTAAAAGAAAACGTTGAACACCCATTTTGTTCTTTCTGTCTATGAAGGTTGAAGTTCATAATCTCTTCGACTCATATAGGGAAAGTATTACTTTCCCTGTACAGTTCACTGATGCTTCTAAGCAGGTAACTAGTTGAGCTATTGTTCCTTACTTTTGTATTTGTTATCCCTAATTTTATCCTCAACCATTGCAGTTAGTTGTATCATAGGAACCCCAAAAATATTTATATATATTTTTGAATGTTTTGTGGTGTGGCTTCATATAGTTTGAAATAAGTTAGTTTCATTATCAGCCCATGCAGCCAGATTTAGAATTCAAAGTTCAACACTGTCATAGCTAACCTGATGACAATCAAACCATTCAATTTGGATACATTTATTTTTGGCATATAGCTAACTGGATGACTCAATTAGACAACGATTTGATTAGGATATAATCAAATTGTTTGTGGAACTGACAAATGTTTTGGAATGTAGGTAAACTAGAGTTGAAGAGGTGCTGCAAGGGATTGAAGTTGCCTAGAGTAATATGACTGACCAAGGGGAGGGATGTCTACTTGTGCCTTTTGGATAATCTGGCAACCTCATTGTGCTTTTGGGACAATTTGGCACGTCTTACCAGCGATGCAACCTCATTCCTCTAAATGGTTGTGCTGATATAGTTTTGGATGAGATTTTGTAAAGATAGTGTTACTGCGCCTCTTACGCTCTTAACAGAAAACCATGCCCCTCCGTATATATAGCAAGGTCAGATTAGCGCCATAAACTGAATCTAAACTTTGTTTTTGATGAACTCAGACACACACAATCAACACATTACAGTCGCGTGGGCCCACGAATGTGCCCTCAACGACGTGCTGCTACTATATCATCAGTATTCAGTACTTCCTCCGTTTCACAATGTAAGTCATTCTAGTATTCACCATATTTATATTGATATTGATGAATTTAAATAGATATATGTCTAGATTCATTAATATAAATATGAATGTGAAAAATGCTAGAATGACTTATATTGTGAAACGAAGGGAGTAGATGTTTGGAGGACCCCATGTCAGCTGACTATGAATGTGTCAGCTTATTAGCTGCTTCAATAATCCAAAGTTTTTGTAGCATGAATCCAAAGTGCTTGTGATTGGTTTCTTTTAATCCTGGGAGAGATTAACGCATGGTTTGCTACTTTGCAAAAGGTTCCTTTCTAGATACAGAATTTCTCGAACAGTTCCTCATCACCTGACATCTATTTGTGTTTTTTTTTAAAGCCCTCGTATTTGAACTGTAGCTTAGTCTTGTTGAGCTAAAGATGAGAACATTTTTTTTAAAAAAAAGAACAATTTTGACACAAACTAGGGAGTTCTTTTTCTTGATATGGACTTACAAAAGTTCATGACAATTTTTTATATATGTCATGTGCATGGTGTGTATAGTGATATGCATTTATGTCTCTTTTTGCATAGTACAGTACTTGCATAATTTCAGTTTGAAAAAAAGTATAGCAACATTAAACACAACAATAATTTACAAAAAGGAAAAATGTAAACACGATATATAGTTGTGTATAGCTCCTACTTTTCTACAAAGAGCACAATCTTGTCAAGATATTATGATACAACATTTGGTAATAAAAGGATAATTAATTAACCTCCTTAGCACTTGGTTAGGTTGAAATTAAAGACGAAGCCGTTGATCACACTCGAAGACTAAACAGGTGCAACCTGTGAAGAACACCAAAAGGTTGGAAGGAGACCATCAAGACGGTGATCCCGACGGCGACGCCCGGCCGGGATCAAGTGGATTGGTAATTTTGGTGAGATCTGAACAAGTGCATGGTCACTTACTTTCATCTCCAAATGGGCGGCGTAAGAAGTATGTACTTGGTCTTGTTCTTCACCTGTATATTTATTTTTGTTGTCCAATCAATCTTCCACGTTTTCTGAATAATGAAATCTGGGAGATCAATTTGCCGCGAAGAATTAGCACTTTTAATCACAAAAGGCTATCTGCCTATATGCTCTGCATGTCTGAGTTAATGAACACCGTGTAGATCATCATCAAGGGTCTTTCCCACCTCAAAAGCTAGCCACTGAGATGAGGGGCTCCCCTACATATATATTAGGTCCATTGCCCTTCCACAACTAATGTGAGACTATCCAAAATCTCCTTGTTCACATATTGGTGTTCCTCGGCCGTTCATCGTATCGTCACAGTCCCTCAAGTATATAGGCCACGTAGGCATCCAGGGTCCATCAGGCCTTCACACACTTTGTCCCTCGGGGTCAGAGATGTTGAACTAGCCAGACTCTGATATCAATTGTATGATCGTAAAAGGTCTTTCCCACCCCAAAAGTTAGCCAACGAGGTGAGGGGCTTCCCCACTTATATATAGGTCTCTTGTCCTTCCACATCCGTTGTGAGTGTTCAATACACTGATCCTTTTATAAGATGCCTCCTCTTCCTTGCGAACACAAGATTATTTTGGATATTTGGACAATGTTAGTAACCAGGAATGGGAGGAACTAGGAATTCTGTCTCAAGTCCATACAGAGCCATTGCTAGTTTCTTCAAAACATATGGGTTCATAAGACTGATGTTTCAAGCTCATATCTTTCCAAGTAGCAATAACCAAAGGGGCCTTCAGGTGAGAGTCTGTTTATGTGTAATTTTCGAGCACTGGTACTAATTAAGGGATAATGCATGAAATAGTAATAGCAGTCATACTCAGATCAGAGTGCTAGTAGTAGTAGCTATTGGCAGTCACCAACAGTGTGGAACTTTCATAACACAAACAGCGGTTCTTTGGTAAACCGAGAATGCCTCAATGAGTGCAAAGATTTCTTTCCAAAATTTCATAAGGATATGCTAGCTACCTCCGTTTTTTAATTAATAGATGGCACCGTTAACTTTTTATCACACATTTTACTATTAGTCATTAAAAAAACACGATATTATAGGTATGGAGTCGGTTAGAGGCAAGGCGGCAGCCAACCGGCCGCCGGAGGGGAGGCGACGCCACCAGCGAACTCGATTGTCGTCAATTAGTTAGGACTTGGGAGTTTAGAGTGAGTGCACTGAGTAGGAAATACTCAAATTGGTGGTTGGGCCGTTAGAGGGTTGGCTAAGGCTGTGTTCTTCCCCCAACTTTCCCAACTCACCTCTCTCATGTTCCGTGCACACGCGTTTCAAACTACTAAACAATGCTGTTGGGGGAATGGCTCTAGGTAAAGGAGCAAGCCTCCGAAAGGCGAACCGAGCTTCGGCGGAGACATCCACCCTAGGAAAATGACCGAAGGTGACTACTATCTTAGGCTCCGGAGCAATTTAGGGGCTCCAGGGCCGACCAAGGCTCGCGGAGGCAATCGTAGCCTCTGGAGCGCGCTTACGGCTCCGGGGGCGGCTGTTGACTCGAAAAATCGACACGTAGGGGCCTAGGAGATATGCTTAACTCCAGTGCAGGTCCAGGAAATTTGCCTTCGGGTTCTGAGCGTGCCAGATGGTTTGATCCTGCAACCAACATGACAGGGAACATCAAAGAGTTAAATCCGTCAACGATAGCCGATCGGCAAGGATTGCTGATGACATATCATTGGGGGCCACGCCGATGCAATTCAAGTCAGATCGGTGGAGGCAAGTAAAAACTTGGAGATTGTTCAATGTACTTGATCGGCTGTAGATATCAGCGACACGTAATCCATTAGATGGGGCATGCTTAGATCGAGCGACTGGGATAGATCGGTGGTGGCACTGAGACAGTATAAATTGCTTCATATCTAAACATGCTCCAAAGAAGGGATTATGCGCGCTCACAGCATAGCGGATGGAGTGAACCCAACCTGTATAGGCTAATACCCCGATACTGCCTTATACCAAGATACCAGCATAGATGAAATATAAGAAGCTTGGCCCAATCTTAGATACTATGGAGCTTGATCTACGTCAAGAGGATGGGATCTTGATATAAGAGGCAGATCTAGACGATCTAGAACCAAAAAGGAAGGTAAAACGACTAAATCAGGTAAGATCGGCTGAAACCCTGATACTGTCTCTATTAGCAGTCAAAGAACAAATTAGATGAAAAGCCTCAGGACATTACTTATTAGATCGAACCTAACCGATGCAGCATTAAGCGTGAAGAGAGGCAAAAGATCTAATCAAACCGATGAAATATCTCTGCAGCATTAAGCGTGAAGAGAGGCAAAAGATCTAATCAAACCGATGAAATATCTCTAAGGAAACTAGAAAATGTCCTAATTAATAGATACAATTGTCTCTCTTAGGACTCCTATCCTTGTGTGGCAATGGCTATGAAGGCCTTTAATTTGACCTGTTGACGACGCGGGGTTACCTCCCTCGAGATTGGCGGCGTCGGCTTTACTACGTCGTGCCCAGTACTCTCCGAAATAAAAGTAACAAATTTGGCCATTAATTTGGAAACAATTATCCACCACAAGATTCACGACACTTTTATTTAATTTTAAAGTCATGTGCATGGAAACAGTAACAATAATGCATTGAAGAATAACACCCCGACTCTTTTAAAAAACTAAAGATACAATTGTACCATGCAAATTAGATTTTCATTAAAAACTAAGCCTAATTTAAATATAAGAAATTTAATCCAATCATGACTATTATTGTTAGTTATATACTGCCAGTCAGAGTTACAGTAACGCGCGACTAACTGGCTAGTAATCATGAGAGAAACTAATTAAGATATCCAACCGCATGTCCTCTCAAAAGGGGTCATATGTACTGTACTTCAAGTAAATGAGATATTAATTTATGCCATAATTTCAGCAGTAGAAATTGAAATGAATATACGAGTATAAATTAATTTACAGCCTCACAATTACCAGGTCACCTGCCTACCTCCTCATGGCTGAGTTAGTGAACACCAATCCTTTATATATAGGATTCCTTCTCTTCCTCCTCTACACTAGCAAGTTATAATCATGGAGGAAATTATCAGCATGCCCATTTCTCCTGCATTTCGTGTGATATTTGGAAGTGATATATAGTACTCCCTCCATTCCAAAATGTTTGACGCCGTTGACTTTTTTTTAAAATGTTTGACCGTTCGTCTTATTTAAAAAATTTAAGTAATTATTAATTCTTTTCCTAACATTTGATTTATTGTTAAATATACTTTTACGTATACATATAGTTTTACACATTTCACAAAAGTTTTTGAATAAGACGAACGGTCAAACATGTTTAAAAAAGTCAACGGCGTCAAATATTTAGGGAAGAAGGGAGTAATTAGGAACGGGAGGAAGTAGGAATTCCGTTTCAAGTTCATACAGAGCCATTGCTAGTGTCTGTCAGATGTATTGTCCGCAATAGCTGTTGCTTATTACAGCTGTGAGATGATGTGGAGGTCAGAGGTTACGGATTCCTTGTGCAGATGTACTCCTCTGATGATCTCTCTTAAGCATCCTGCTAAGAAATTATAGCTCTTCATCACTTCATCAAATGGACTTCTTTGGAGCCATATGGAAAGACAGTACATGTATTTGTTCCTTGTCTATGGCCTAATAATTAAGGTTTACATATTTTTCGAGTACGGTGGACGACTAATCCAGGCATAAACATATAGCAAACCATGGCACTTGCTCAGATCAGAGTGATAGTGCCAGTCTGCCAGATGAGTCATTTCTGTAAACCGAATGCCTCAACGAGGTCAACAATTATTTCTATACTATCTAATGCTCCCTCCATCCATTTCAGTTTATAAGACATTTTCACTTTGGTTAAAATCAAACTGTTTTAAGTTTGACTAAGTTTATAGAAAAATATAGTAATATTTATAAAACTAAATTAATTTTATAAAATCAATAATTGAATATATTTTCATAATAAATTTGTTTTGGGTTAAAAATGTTACTGTTTTTCTCTACAAACTTGATCAAAGTTATAAGCAGTTTAACTTTGACTAAAATCAAAACGTCTTATAATCTGAATCAGTAATTAAAAGATGGTATGGGTAGCGGTGAATCTACCACAGCTAGTGATCAGTTCATCACCACTCAGCTACTATGCGAGACCTACAAATAATGAGAGAAGATTTTGCTTGTTTCCCAAACCCCTATCAGAAAAAAAATGAGAATCAAATATTATGATTTTCTTTTCATATTTTGTGAATGTATTAACAACAAACCTCTAGATCAGCAGGTACATAGTACGATAGCAATACATTAGACAATCGGAATAATATTCTTTTTTTTTAAAAAAAAAAAGTTCGTTTCAGGTTGCTATCACCTAGATAGCATCCTAGCATATGCATGCTCACTTCTCTTTTCTTTTTCCAATGTAAGCATCCGGTTGCTAAGTTGTTTCCTTTGGTTGATTTCTTAGAGCAGGTGCAATAAGGTTTTAAAGTCGGCGATAACAATGCCACGTTGTCTTATATATACGATGGGCTGGCATGGAGAGAGAATGGAAAAGAGAACAAGCCAGCGACTAAACTGTCGTCGGGCTGCACGCACATTTCAAGAGAAGCGGGCCCACTGCTGTGCATTTGAGGAGGTTATGATCGCTGCTATTGGTCAAGAAAAAGTAAAGGAAGAGAGAGAAATGATAGTAAATAATAAAATAGTATCACTATGAACTGTTGGGTAAATAGTATGTCACAATTTATTTACTGTGTATGTGACGTGGGAAATTTTATCGCCGGTAGCTGACGCTATTATTGAACTTGCTCTTATCTAACTTTCTTAGGTGCCCCTCGTGCGATTTTTGTTTTGGACACATGATTTATGCGTTGAGTACATACTTGACACTTGTTCAGGATGGTTCAAGAAAGTTATTCTTTTAGCATACTGATTTGGTGTTCTGAGGGAACGAAGGTAAGGTGTGTACATATATAGATTATTCTGGAGCTATTTTAGAGGTTGTTGTGCTGGTGTTTTGATTATGTGCTTATTTCCAAGAGATTTCATCTCACCAAGCATTGATGATTTATTGACTTGTGTGATATGTGTATGGCTGTATTAGCACCAGCATGTGGTTGTAATCGGAAAAGCACCCTTTACGCCTGCTCGATGGCGTTGCTGGCTCTGGTACCATGGTTAATTTTGCTCTTGAGTAGAACAAATCCGTGTGCAAAACAGTTTATGTAATAAAATTGGATAATCCATAGTTTATTGTTGGGCTAATCACTAGTATAGAAACCCCACATATATATAGTCCCGGTTTGTAAGCCTAATAGGTGTTGGTCTGTAACCGGCACCACGATAGTTGCACTGATGAGCCATGCTGATTGGTACATCAGGCACTACACTAGATAGATAAATAGTAGCACTCAGACTCTGATAAGAGTAATAGTGGCAGAGGGATCATCTCTTTAACCAAATACCTTAACATGCACAATAATGATTTATTTCCGCATATTCCTACAAAAAGTGGATAGTACAACAATTCGTTTAACAAGATGAGCATGGTGGAAGTGATCAGAGGCGCCGGCCTGCCGGAGGGGAAAAGAGATGAACTGACCCTAAATCGGTTGGGAATCTAGAGCGAGTGCACAATGGGACGGTTGAAATGATGATCTTGGGCCTTTGCCAACTGCCAAGGAGTATTTTTCGATATGGGTAGCTATGTAATTCGATGCAATTTAATGGCTTATAATGGGTGGAAAACCAACGAACCCAGGTAGACAATTGTTTTGTCATTTAGACTTGTTTTCTTTTTTTAAAAAAATGAACTGAAGCATAGTCTTGTTGAGCCGAGATTGCTATTAAGCGATCGGTCGCGTGGGGGAGGCAAACGCGATCACGTTTCTCACCTGGGAGAGATTGAGGCCTGTCCTATGGGCTTTGACCAGCCCATGTGGAGAGAGGAGTTGGAGCTGTACGGTAATTTCTCTATACGGTAATTTGGATTGTTAATTACCAAAGTAACACTAGCTAGCAAGGTACTCTTATAATTTTATATCATTATTGCTATTATTTGTGTGTGTGTGTGTGTGTTTTATTTATCTCTTAATTTTATAATCTATTTAATTGTACAATTTAAATCCAATTTTATCTATTTAAAAGTATAATTCAGGTATAAAGTCTTTTTTATCGAAGTTTATACGTAAAGTTTACGTGTATAAAGTTTACATGTATAAAGTTTACGTGTATAAAGTTTATGCGTATAAAATTTACGTGTATAAAGTTTATGCGTATAAAGTTTACGTGTATAAAGTTTATCATTTTCTTGTATAAAAATCTAAAATTTAAATTGACATTTATAAAAATATTTTATTTAGAAAATCCTTAACTCTAATACAACCAAGGACAGCATACCTAATATGCTTAAGTGAACACTAACCATATGCTAATTGCTATAAAATATATATAATCACTTTGACTAATCACATGGAGATAATACTGATATGAAGCAAAGGTATGGTATAGCTGGTACTGTTGGCTTAACAAATATACCCGGTCGAAACTCGATCGCGAGGGGACCATCGCCGCGATCGTTCGCGTATTAGACACCCCCTTGTTGAGCTAAAGATGAGACTTTTTTTTTTTTAAAAAAAAGATGAACTGAAGCTTACTTCCTTTGTCCTAAAAAATTAACTCTAGAAGGGAATGCGACATTTTCTAGTACAACGAATCTGAACAAAGGGATGTCCAGATTTATTGTACTAGGAGATGTCACATCCTTACTCAGGTTGTGTTTTATTTTTGAACAGAGGGAGTAGTCTAGTTGACCTAAAGATGAGAACATTTTTTTTAAAAAGGGAACAATTTTGACACAAACTAGGGAGTTCTTTTTGTTGATTTGGACTTACAAAAGTTTATGACAAATTTTTATATATGTTATGTGCATGGTGTGTATAGTGATGTGCATTTATGTCTCTTTTGCATAGTACAGTACTTGCATAATTTCAGTTTGAAAAAAATAAAAAAGGAACAAAATGTAAACACGATGTGAAGTTGTATATAACTCCTACTTTTCTACATAGTACACAATCTTACCAAAACATAATGATACCAAAGGGATATATAACTAATTAATTAACCTCCTTAGCACTTGGTTAGGTTGAAAAGAAGGCGTTGACACTCGACGACTAAACGAGTGCAACCTGCGAAGAACACCGAGGTTGGCAAGCTGACCATCAAGAACACGGCGATCCCCACGGCGACGCCCGGCCGGGATCTCATCAAGAAGTCCCCAAGCACATGGAACAGCTGTCCATCGCCGCCACCACCGCCGCCGGCCGCCGTCTCCCAAACGGAGTACTCCTCCTCCTCCTCCTCCCACTCCGGCGGCGCCTCCCGGCTGGAGTACTCTTCCTCCTCCTCGGTCGCCGCCGCCGCCGCCTTTATCTCCGAGATCCTCTGACGTAGCACGGGCATCCCCTCGTCCACCAGCCCAGCCCCGGCGCTGCCGCCGCCGCCGCTGTCGCTGTGGAGGGAGAAGCACCGCACCGCCGCCGGTGATCTCCTCCTGGTTAGCGCCACCGTCGTGGTCAGTGGTGATGGACGTCGCCGCCGGGAGCAGCGGTGCAACTCGACGGCGGCGCTCCGGCGGCTGATGGCGTGATGGCATGGAGAGCTTTGAGACGAGTGTCTCATCATCATCATGGCCATCTTGACTGTTGAGAGCAGGATTGGAGGAGCAGTGAATTGATGTGGTGATGGCAACTTTGTCCTTGGAAGAAGAATCAAGTGTTGCCGGGGTTTATATAGCAAACGAAGCAAGTGATAGTTATGACACACTCACAATTCAAACCAACATATATAGCTATACATCAGTACATTGTACTTGTTGCTTGCCATTTTCATTGTTTAATTATTTTTTAAAACATAGTACAAACAACACTCATATAAATGTATGCACACTTACTCTTATGAACATGCATACGTACATCCTACCGTTATCAGCACCCGTCAAATTATGTTTGGGCTAGTATATCTTGATATTCACGAAGTCATCACGTGTGCTCACTGTCAACGGTTATGTTGCCTACTAATGAAAGAATAATTAGTAGTTGAGCTATGTTTATTTCATTATTTTCATTGTTTATAGTTGGCTCAAGATATGTTCAAATCTGTTAGTAGGAGATTATGTGTTAATTGTATAGTAATTTTTACTGTGTCTGAGGAGGTACTAATTAAGAAAGTAATTTTAATTTTTAGTGTAAATTATGGTATATCATGTGTGTACCTCTTGATCGATCGGTACATCTCAAGAACCATATACAAAATTTCACTGTGATATGCAAAATTTTATCTATATAGATATAGGCCAGCTTAAACCAAAATTCGCTTATACTTTGTGATATGCATATCTGATTAACACATATGGTTGTCTTAATTAATTTTAGTTGTATATTTAATTTAATTATACATAATATGGTTTGTTTCTATGATTTTGTTAGCAATATACTTCGCAAGTTGAAAGCCCATTGGTACAATGAACAATGCGGATGAATTGAACTTAGAGTACATAAAAAGAAGATCGGTTAGGCAAGTTGGCCCAACAAGCAAGATTCCCCCCAAAAAGGACATAGACAAGGTAACGTAGTTTACACTCACGCTTCCAGACCACCTATTTGGGGACGCAAAGGAGAAAGTGATTTTTTTTCAGATTACCTTAGGCCCTGTTTGTTTCAGCTTAAGATTATTGTAATCTAAATTATTAAATCAGATTACTCTAAGCTGGATTATAATAAGCTGATATAAAATAAGCTATGAGTTATTTGTTTCTCTGGATTATTAGAGGCATCTAAGGGTAGTGGGTCTTTAGCCACTCAATAATCTGAAAAAAGCTCCTCTAGAGGAGATTATTGGATTATAGTAATCTGGCTTATAGATTATAATAATCTACTTGTTTGTTTCAGCTTACTCCTAATAATCCAGATTATAATAATTCTAAGTTGAATCAAACAGAGCCTTAATTACTTTACTGGATTATATCAGTGCCAGCTTAATTAGATGGGAAAATGTTTTCTTAACTAACATTTTTTCCTTTTGAAATGATCTAGGAATAATGGGTTGTACCTTAATTAACACGACTAGAGTATTTAGTACATGTACAACATGGAAAACGCATGCAGTGTAACTAGTGTACCGCGGGATAATAAACTTCCTAAACTTCTTACTTGTTTTAAAATATATTTCAGCATATATGGCGTAATTGGCTTTACTCGTCAAACTTTTAAAATTTTGATCATTTGGTTGCTCTCAAAATATTTAGTTTGAACGCACATAGAAACCATATATAGAAAGATTTTCCCTTATAAATACTTTATAAATATTACGATTATGTTACATCTTATTAAGTATCTATACTACTTCTTAAGATAGTGTAGTGGTGGTGGCGACCCACCACCATTGGCATGTGGGGAATGATGTAGGAGTAGCTTTTTTCAGTACTTGTGCAGAGTAGAGTACGTACTTGTGTAGTTTTTAGCCACTCTTGCTTAGTATACTAACTGTAGTTTTTTTTATCTTATTTGCAGGTACTTTTTAGGGCAATATATTGGCTTCGGGGTTGGGCTCAAGTACAAATATATGATGATGATGATATCAAGCTAATAAATAATGTATGTCGTAAACTTGAGTCAACGATTATGCACATTTTTACCAACTTTGGATGGAGATTCTCAAATAGAATTTAGTAATTCAGGGTTCTTTTATCTTGTATTGGTGTCTTTTAGTTTGTGATTTCTTTATATTATGTTAGTGTGTGCTGAATTTGTTTATGTGTGGACTTTATAATAATTGGTTGTAGCTTGTTGAGCAAAGGCCGGAATGTTATTCCATTATCTTAAAAAAACTGTGGTTTTTTTTAAATGAAGAATCTCGTTTCAACCAAGTACTAGATATTAATATTTTTTTTCAACATGAATGTATTTTTTCTTTGCTGTTTTGAATAACCCGCTACAAAATAGTGGTGAAAGTCATGCTAGCTCCAAAGATCAAATAAAGTCGACAGTATCGTATATTTAAATACGAATTTAGTATTACTTCTTTACATGCACGGTTGCTTCCCAAAATGCTAAATTGCCACAACACTTTAGCCAATAAATCAACTTGCACAATAGTTTCCACCTACAAATCTTTAAATTGCATGTTGTAACCCCCGAAAGGCACAAGCAATGGATGCTACTTACAAACAACGTTCAGTTTCAGGCTCCCATCACCTGGATAACGTCTTAGCATTAGCATATATGTTCACTTTTTCCTATCTGAAATGGAAGCATTTGATCGGTTGTTAAGTTGCTTGATTTCTTCTCCAACCTTTAATTTGTTAGGCCCTCGTGTGATCCTTGTTTTGTACACATGATTTATGCGTTTATTTGTACTTCTTCAGGATGGCCCAAGAAAGTTATTCTTTTAGCATACTGATTTGGTATTATGAGAGGACGAAGGTAAAGTGTGTACACATGCATGATATGGCTTTATCGTCGGTGCTGATTTTTATATCCTTTTTTCGATGGATATGTGACGTGTGATGTGTATGGCGGATACAACCTTCTTTTTTTAATATACACTTTAACTTTTTAAGAAATCTTCAATCATTCGTTTTATTAAAAATTTTGTGCAAACATAAAAAAAAATATAAGTCATGCTTAAAAACCTATTATAATAAAAAATATAAGTCAAAATAAATAATAATTATATTTTTTTAAAGGTGAATAGTAAAACATATCTCAAAAAGTTTACGGTGGAAGCATATTGTTTTTAGATAACGGGATAGCCGGCTCTGCACGAGTGCTTAGACTGAAACTAACAACAACAAGACCACACAACATCTTGCAAGATGCAACAAAAAGCTTAAAAGATAACACATAGCCAATGAAAAGTCTTAAATGGTTAAACCATATATAAACAGTTATGTGTCTTTGTGATTGGGACAGACAAGGAGATCGATCCTAGTTGGACCAATTCCATGATATATTGACAAGGATGGAAGATGTGTGTGTAAGTATGTTGTCAAAAATTGAGGCAGCTCCTGAGCTGGTCGGATGGCCATGTACTTCACCGTCGATTCCTGAAAATGGCCGTAAAATGGGCTTGATTATCCCAAAAACACTATTTATGTTGAAGGAAATTCCATGGAATGAGTTTTCAAAAAGAAAAGAAAACTCTACGAATTACGTGATAGAATCAAAAACGTCATTTCAGTTGATCTTTAATTAGCAGGAGTTGGGGGTTTGTCCCGTCATCTTTTTCTTCTTCTTTTTTATTTGTAAGACTTTTTACTTTGTGTCCATTCGTAGAGGATAGTATAAATCATTTTCACTATTGAAAAAAAGGAATTAAATGCTAGAATCACCGAAATTTGACATAACATTACATCATTTGCATGCAACCGTTCAATTACCGTAGAAACACTTGAAAAGAATCCTGTTCGAGTAGAATTTAAAATTTTTTTAAACACAAAACAGGCCATAGCAACAAAGCTCAGGCCCTGCTTTGTCACATGTACATACAGTGATGTAATTGCATGAGATAAATATATTGAGTTAACCTAGTGATGTTCAGTTTGATTCAATTTGGACTGCGCGCGTGCGTGTTTGGTTGAAATTTGGATGGAATTCAAAAGATGTTTGAAGGGATTGGTGGAGATCAGGGGCCCCAGACGGTGATGCCCTGCATCATGGACTTGAACTCGCCGAAGTCGACGCGGCCGTCGCTGTTGCGGTCGACGTTGCAGATCATCTCCCGCACGGTGGCGAGGCTGCCGGCCTCCGGGAGGCCGAGCTTCTTGAGCACCTCCTGGAGCTCCGACGCCGAGATGAACCCGTCGCCGTCGACGTCGAACACCTTGAACGCCTCCCGCATCTCCTCCTCCTCGTCGCCGCCGCCGCCGCCGGGCTCGCCGGCGGCGGCGGCGCCGTCGAGCGAGCCGAAGAGGGCGTCGCCGAGCGCGCGGTGGAGCGCGTCGAAGTCCTCGAAGCGGAGGCCCGCGGCGCCCTCGGGGACGTAGGCGGAGACGGTGGCGGCGAGGCCGTCGCGGTCGGCGACGAGGCCCAGCGCGTCGAGCGCCTGCGCCAGCTCGTCCACGGTGATCTCGCCGTCGCCGTTGCGGTCGAACAGGTCGAACACGCGGCGCAGCCGCACCGCGTTCAGGCTGCCGTTCCTCAGCCGGAACGACGCCGACGCCGTCTTCTTCGCCAGCGACGGCTTCGCCGCCGCCACGCTCTGCTTCGCGTCCATATCTCCTCTCCTCGCCGGCACAGCTCGAATCCGATCAGGCCTTCCCTTTCGCGCGCGCGGATTCTCTCTCTCTCTCTCTCTCTCTCTCTCTCTCTCTCTTTCTCCATGGACGCGGAGCTCTCGTGGCTATAGATAGCTACGGCGACATCGTCGTGGAGCTCGCGTCGCGCGCGCGATGCCATCTTGGGCGACGGGAGGAGCGCGTCCGGGGGGAGAGGACGAAGCCGATGCTTCTGCCTTGGGGGTTCAATTCGGAGTTTAATTCTCCGACCCCTTTTGGCTTTTTTTTTTAAAAAAAGAATCATTTTTCTGATTCAAATCATATAAAAAAATGACAGAAAAAATATATGGAAAGTGATTGGACTGCAGTCTGCAGAGTTATATCTATCGGTTCTATGGGAATTTCGGCCGAAAAACTTTGAAATTTGAATAAATTTTGCAAGGTTCCCGAAATTTGATTTTTTTTCTGTACGTTAATAATACAATATTTTTTTTTGCAAGATGGACTGATGTACCATTTGTAATGAAACAACATGGTGATCTCATCCATATAAAAGGATGGATCGCAACCGAAAGCAACCACGCCTCTTTCCTAGGCGCTCCTTGGTAACGCCCAACCGTCGCGTCTCTAGTTGCCACCCCTTCCCCATCTATAAATTGTACCGCATTGATCAATATTCAATAAAGATATCCGCTCATTCCTGTGTTCAATTATCTCTCTCGCACAATCAATTCTATTCACAATACCATTTTTCAAAATTTCACGATGGAATGCTGGATGGACACGGAGGAAATATTTCAAATATAAAGCTAAAATTTAGCAATACGGAGGTAGAGCATCATGGACAGGGCGGAGTTCTCAGACAAACTAATCAAATGGTATTAAGTTTCGGAGATTCGTAGTGGTGATACTTAGTATATGCCTTAATTCCTTTATGTTACATGAACAATTTTTTTTTTGGCCTTCTCCTGTTCTTGTGGAAAATCCAACAAAGGACAAAAACAATTCAAGCAGTTCAATTATTTATCCCTTTTAACATATACAGATTGTCTACGTACGAAATCCCTCTCTTAAACATTATTCTATTTACTGGTGGAGAAACCATCTTTCGTCGGTCGGCCGATTTTCACAATAGTCCCGGATGCAATAAAAACCGGGGTTAAAGATGATCTTTAGTCCCGGTTCAAAAGGGTAACGGGCATATTTGATCTTTAGTCCCGGTTTGTGTTACCAACCGGGACTAAAGATCATCTTTAGTCCCGGTTCGAATGCTATCAGGACCTGTCAGGCCCCCCCGGGATCTTTAGCCCGGTTGGTAACACCAACCGGAACTAAAGATCTTAACTTACCAACCGTGACTAAAGATCCCGGTGATCTTTAGCCCCGGTTGGTGCTACCAACCGGAACTAAAGTCCCACCCCTATATATATGTCTTCTTCCTCCTCCAGCTGCCCGAGCAAGCTTCAAAATTTCTTCAAAAAAGAGGGGAGGTCATGCCAAAATTTCTATTGAATTTATTTTGGTGATTACATACAAATCGGAGGTGCCTAAAAGGTTTGCAACTTCATCCTCCAATGTTTTTTTTGTCATACTACATTTGCACCTATGTTTTGCACACTTTTTTTGTCTCCAAAATTTAGTTGTAAGTTGATGAGAGAGAAAATGTGTGTGGGGAAGAAAGAATATATAGAAATTTAGTTCATTTGCTAAACAAGGTTTTATAAAATAGTTGAGAAGGAAAACTCTAGTGAAAGTTAATCTTAAATAATAGAAAACAAACTAAAATAAAAATTAAAAGAAGTAAGACACATTAAAATTAGTTTAAAACTTTACAAATAGTTTTTAAGAATTATTTGGTGTAATATTTTATGATTTTTGTATGAATAAAGATATCTTATAATTATTGTATGACTGTCATTATTGTAAGAATAATTATTTGTGTACGGTTTTTTTGACTCATGTAGATAGATCGGCAATGGATGTACGCTGACCGGCGGTCCAAAGAGTTTATTGACGGCGTGCACTATTTTTTGAGAGTGGCCGAAGCTAACAGGCAAAGGGGTTTTATTTGTTGTCCATGCAATAAGTGTAAGAATCAGAAGGAGTATTCTGCATCCAGGACTATTCATTTCCACTTGTTTGAGTCGGGGTTCATGCCAAGCTATAATTGTTGGACATCCCACGGAGAGCAAGGTGTTGAAATGGAAGAAGATGAAGTGGAAGACGACAATATTCCGGACTTTGCTCAGTATGTTGGATTTGAAGGAAATCAAACGGGCGAGGAGGATAGCTGCTGATGGTAACGACGTTGCGGATGATCTTGGTCAGATGTTGCAGGACGCCAGGGAGGACTGCGAAAGTGAAAAGGAGGCCCATAAATTGGACAAGATGTTGGAGGACCACAGAACTTCGTTGTACCCAGGTTGCGAGCAGGGGCACAAAAAGTTGGATACCACTCTGGAGTTGTTGCAATGGAAGGCAAAAAATGGGGTTAGTGACAAGGCATTTGGCGATTTATTGAAACTCGTCAAGAACATTCTTCCGGGGGGAAACAAATTGCCCGAGACAACGTACGAGGCTAAGAAGATAGTCTGCCCGTTAAGACTGGAAGTTCATAAGATTCACGCATGTCCGAACGATTGTATCCTATATCGCGGTGAGGAGTATGAGAACCTAGAAGCATGCCCTGTTTGCAAAGCACTACGATACAAGATTAGACGGGACGATCCAGGAGAAGTTGACGGGCAGCTAACAAAGAAGAGAATTCCTGCTAAGGTGATATGGTATTTCCCTATAATACCACGGCTAAGGCGTTTGTTCAGGAACAAGGGGAATGCTAGAATGTTGCGATGGCACGCTGAAGAGCGTCAACAGGACGGGATGCTGAGACACCCCGCCGATGGTTCGCAGTGGCGAAACATCGACAGAAAATTTAAAGAATTTGGAAAGGACGCACGAAACATACGGTTTGGTTTGAGTACGGATGGCATGAATCCTTTTGAAGAGATGAGCAGCGGCCATAGCACTTGGCCCGTTACGATGTGTATCTACAACCTCCCCCCCTGGCTATGCATGAAGAGGAAGTACATAATGATGCCGATTATTATTCAAGGCCCCAAGCAACCTGGTAACGACATCGACGTGTACCTAAGACCACTGGTCGAAGATCTTAAACAGTTGTGGAAGAAGGAAGGTGTCCCCGTGTGGGACGAGGACAAACAGGAGGAGTTTAACCTACGAGCGCTGCTGTTCGTAACCATCAACGATTGGCCTGCACTTAGCAACTTATCCGGACAGTCCAACAAGGGGTACAAGGCTTGCACTCACTGTATGGATGAAACAGAAAGTACGTATCTTAAGCACTGTAGGAAGGTTGTGTACATGGGTCATCGTCGATTCCTTGCAGCAAACCACCCGGTACGGAAGAAAGGCAAGCACTTCGAACATAAGGCCGACCACCGTACGAAGCCTAAACATCGCAGCGGGAAAACAGTGTTTGCTATGGTTAAAGATCTTAAAGTAGTGTTCGGAAAGGGGCTTGGAAGCCAGCATATAGAGAGCGAAGATGGTCACGCGGCGATGTGGAAAAAGAACTCTATATTTTGGGAGTTACCATATTGGGAATTCTTGGACGTACGCCACGCAATCGACGTGATGCACCTCACTAAGAACCTTTGCGTAAACCTTCTTGGCTTCCTAGGTGTATACGGAAAGTCGAAAGATACACTGGAAGCACGTAATGATCTGAAGCATATGGAACAACGCGGCGACCTTCACCCAGAACCAAAGGAGAAAGGAAGCCATTACTTGAGTCCAGCCAGCTACACTCTTAGCAAGGCAGAGAAGGAAAGTATGTTTGAATGCTTGGAGAGCATAAAGGTACCGTCTGGATACTCCACGAATATCAAGCGAATAATAAGCACGAAGGAGAAGAAGTTCACAAACCTAAAGTCTCATGACTGTCACGTGTTGATGACACAACTGCTACCAGTTGTAATAAGGGGTATCCTTCCAGACAATGTCCGGGCAACAATAACAAAGCTATGTGCATTCATGAACTCAATTTCGCAGAAGGTCATCGATCCGGAAAGATTAGAAGCCCTTCAGAATGAAGTGGTGCAATGTCTCGTCAGTTTTGAGTTGATATTTCCACCTTCATTTTTCAATATAATGACGCATCTGCTTTGTCACCTTGTGAAAGAGATCCGTATTCTCGGGCCTATGTACCTACACAACATGTTTCCTTTCGAGAGGTACATGGGCGTTCTGAAGAAGTACGTTCGTAACCGTGCTCGTCCAGAGGCAAGCATCGCCAAGGGTTATGGAACAGAGGAGGTCATCGAATTTTGTGTAGAATTTATCGAAGACCTTCGCCCAATCGGGGTACCTGAATCACGCCATGAAGGGAGACTACGGGGAAAGGGAACTCTCGGAAGGAAAGCAATAATGACGGTAGACAACAATTTATTCCGTAAAGCCCATTTCACTGTTCTGCAACACTCTTCATTGGTAGCTCCTTACATCGAGGAGCACTTGGCTCTAGTTCGCGCCAGGAACATCGGTAAGTCCGATGCATGGATTACACGGCATCACATTGATACTTTCCCCGCATGGCTACGACAACATCTCATGGGTAACGAGTCGATCAACCAACAACTTGCCTTCCTGGCGAGGGGACCGTCTGGGTCGATCACGACATTCCAGGGATATGAGATCAATGGGTACACATTCTACGCGAGAGCCCAAGACATGAAGAGCACGAACCAAAACAGCGCTGTTCGTGTCGATGCCATGGGACACGATGGAACAACTGCCACGTATTACGGTGCCATCGAGGACATATGGGAACTTGACTATGGTCCTCTCAAGGTTCCTCTGTTCCGGTGCCAATGGGTTAGGTTGACTGGTGGAGGCGTAATGATTGATGACAGTGGGATGACAACTGTTGACCTTAACAAGGTTGGATACTCGGACGAACCTTTTGTCCTTGCCAATGATGTAACGCAAGTCTTTTTCGTGAAGGACATGTCTAGCAAAGGAAAGAAGGGCAGAGGGCCTGATGAGCCTAAGCGTCAAGTGGTTCTCCCAGGCAAAAGAAAAATCGTCGGAGTTGAGGACAAGACTGACGAGGATTACGATCAGTTGGATGGGCAACCCCCTTTCACGGTGACGATTGACCCTAGCATCCTCCTATCAAATGAAGACACCCCTTACTCACGCAGCGATCACAAGGAGGGAACAATAGTGAGGAGAAAGTACGTGCGGTCAACCGTCACCGCCGATGTAATGCCGTAATTATTGTGTACACGATGTAAACTATTTTGGATGTATTGATTATCCATATAAATCAATTGATGTATGGCATATGTTAATTACGCACGATTATTAGAGGTTTCAACAAGTTTAAATCATGTATATGCTAGTTATATGTGATACTTACAATTTTTAAAAGTTTTAAATCACACAGGTGGCAATTTCATATGTATGTTAATTAGAGTTTTTAACATTTAATTTACTAGCATTCATATGCTAATTATAATTGACTAGAGGATTTTTAAAAGTTTTAAATCACGCAAGTGGCAATTTCATATGTTAATTAGAGTTTTTAACATTTAATTTACTATCATTCATATGCTAATTATAATTGACTGGAGAATTTTTAAAAGTATTAAATTTAATATATTTTTAAAACTATCATTCATATATTAGAGTTTTTCACAATTTAATTTACTATCTTTCATATGCTACTTATATATGACTATTCGAATTTTTAAAAGGTTTAAATCATGCATGTGGCATTTACATATGTTAATTAGAGTTTTTAGCATTTAATTTAATATAATTCCTACGCTAAGTACATATGA